TCTCACCTAAAAAATCCACTGCGCAGGCTCGAAGGGTTAATGACCTTTCCCAAATCTTCGCTCGCGAAGACTGGCCATTATTATTTATAAATTTTAAGTCCTACAGAGGATGTAAAGGAAACTGCAGGAGGGTAGAAACCAGGAGTTGAGGAGCATCAGTGGCAGCTGTGGTGGGAAGCTCTTCCTGTGGGTAGCATTGAGTTAGCAGCTTTGTGCTAAAGGCATTCATGGGGAAAGAAAAATATGAACAAAAAGTTAAGACCCTCCAGCTTGTTAGGTAAAGGCAGGGGCTGGCTGGCAGAATGCTTTTTACCACTCTCAGTGTCACTCACTAGAGGTACACCTAGAAAAATTAAAAAAAAAAAGGAATTTGGTGCTAGGGAAATAGAAAACTAATATAGCAAAGAATCTAATTTCAGGAGAAGAAAGAAGAGGGAGTATATTAATTCCCCCTTCCAATGCTATGCATGAATTAAGTAGATACCGTATTAATCCCAACATTGTTTAACAACATCCCTGTATGTTTATAGTGAATACGCTGGATGAGCTGAGAGGAAAATGTCACCATAACCCATAAGTTTCCCCTTAAAAATGTAGGTTTTTTTCCATCTTAGTTTTATGCAAATTGGGACTATCTGTGGCCTCCTCATTATGTTCTTTATTCCCACATCCTGCTTCAAAGGTTCCTCCCTGCTTCTGTGCTGTCAGCAAAGGTTGATAAACTGACTATATCACCTGGAAAAAAATCTCAGTAGGATTCTGTAGAATAGCTTAAAAAAACAAATAACGAAATAACAAATAACCAAAATAACAAATAACCAAATCCTTAAGAAGTATTTCATGTTCAGAAATGTTAATACATTCTGTTAATAAAAATTTACAGTTTTCATTAACTTCAGCCAGTGGTTCTTTGTTCTTTTAGACAGACAACTACCTCCTTCTTTCTACTTCTTTATCCTTTGGTTTTGCCTATCAGTCCTTCTCCATTTCTTCTTCCATATATTCTTCCCTCTGCCCTAGGATCTTCCTTTTCTCGCCTCCCTCTCCCAGGTGTGCAGATGCTGCTGTTGCTCATCTTCCTCTGTACCTGCTCCTGCCTCCTCATAGCATTGTCAGCTCACAGCTGTACTGACTCTGGTGCCCAGGTAGAGTCAATTAGACCAGCAAAGCTAATTAGAAGGCACAGGATGCTATGCCTCACCCTTGAGATCTGTGCAGCTCAACATAGCAGGGTGCTTTGCTGA